GGGGGCACAACACAGGGGAGGAAACCTGCAGTCAGCAAGCTGTTATCAGGCACTCGAGGCACCCAGTCCCTGTATATTCCAAATTTGCATTAGCAACCCGGATGATAAACTCAGGAAGGTGTTGGAAAGAAAGTGTGTGGATAACTCTGGGCTGTCAGTGCTGCCAGGTTTTTGGAAGGCAGATAATTAGAAGCAATCTTAATAAATTCATGGCATTTATTTCGAGGGAGCTGCACAGAATTCAGTGGGAACGGAGAAGTAACGGGCTGTGTTTCAAATGGATAACTAACATCCAAATCCAGGTTGGGGAATAGCATCTGGAGAGGTCTAAAACATGACAAAAATAGCTGAGGAGGTGGTGATGGGATCCAGCTTGGGATGACACTCATGAGGGAAAGGGCAGGCACAAGGGCCACCCTTGGGTGCATCGATGGGAGGTGACACCTCTCCCTGGGCACAATGTGATGCTCCACAGCTTAAGGATAATGCAGATGAGATGGAGTTGGTCCAGGAAAGAGCAACCTGACACGGTCTGGAAACAACAGCCAACACAGAAAGGATTAAAGAATTGGGGGCTGCAGACTTTTTCACCATCTGCTGTTAAAAAAAAAAAAAAAAAAGAAAACAAGCTCAGGTTTTGTCTGCTTTACCCAGAGACAGAGTGATAATTGGATACATTCAGCTGCATGTTTCACAATAAGCAGCTTCACATCAGTGGTTGGATCCCCAAAAGCAGGTTCTCTGCCCTGCAACGGCTCCTGGGATGAGGTTTCCCAGGCAGCACCTTCCCTTTGCAGCAGTGCAAGACAGCACACAAAGCTTGGGCATGATTTTCCTCTGCTGTGCTGGTCACCCTCAGCTGCTTCTCAACTCCTGCAGCTCACAGCGATGAGATGTTTTCATTCCTATTAATTTTACAGGAGTTGCACTATGGACACCTGCATGTGTTTTACTGGACCTGTCCTGGAACAGTCACAGACGTCGGTCTTTAAATTTCTGCTTTCCACCGTTTTTTTGCAAAGCTGGTCTCCAGACCACTTCTTTGGAGTATCACTGGTTTTTTTGTTCCCCTCAAGTGGATTGTCTGAATTTTTTCATTCCCAGAGGAGGCCTGGGCATCCTAAGGAAGCAGGATAACAGTCCCTGTGGGTCCCACAGGGTGGGCAGAGCAGGCAGGGTACCTATTGTTCTCTGCATCCGCTGCGGCTACAGGAGGAGGAAATCAGCTTTATCTGAAGCAAAGAACGACACCAATTAGGAAAATTATAAGGAAAAACTTCCTGGCAATAGCGTAGCAGTACATGGGAACAGGCACCTCAGGCAACTGCAGAAAGATAAATAAAAAATAAATATTTTTAAGAAACTGCCCTATGGGAGATGCTTTTCCATATACAGGGAGAGGATATTGTCACCTCATCCTCTGTGGTCAACACCTGATCCTCTCCCACACTAATTTACAGGATTCCCCTCTCTCCCTATCCCATCACATCACTCTTCTAGGTCCCTGAATCCCTCTTCCACTGGCAGCACCACGCTCCAGGGCCCCACCCTCACCCTGGACACCCACCACACTGAGCATCCCTTTAAAGGTTAAGAAGATTCCACACCTTTCCAAAGGGCTGGGAGAAGGGAAGAGGTTTTTGCAAGGCACCGAGGTGGATGGAGGACAAGGGTGGGTGTTTTGCCTCTCCTCACAAGCATCTGACAGGGGAAGGTTCATGTGGCGTCCACTACAAAGCCCCTGCCACTGGCACTGCAGAGGAATGTGCTGCAGGGTCTGCTCTGGAGCCCACCCAAGCATCATCCACATGCAGGGGGTCCCATCTAGTGGGAAAGCCACCTCTTATTCCCTTATAAGGAAAAAAAAAATAAATCTATTTATCTTCTCCTAGCCATAGCAAAGCAACCAAAACCCCCCAAAATCTCTAAGCTCCCTTTTAACTAAGTTATTCCCTATGAAAAACATTCTAGGGAAGAAAATAAAGCAGAGCCAGCCCAAATATCCAAAGGCAACTCCCAACAAGGGGATTGCAGAAGGGCCACAGTGGCTTGGCACGTAGCAGCAGCCAACAAGAAGAGCAGGGCAAGCTGCTGGCACACAGGTGGCTCATAAATCCCGTGTCTAGTGGGCTTTGTTTGCCTTTTTATCTGCTGGGGGAGAGCAGAAAGATCACACAATGAAATACATTGTTCCCTTGGCGCTTCTCAGGTGTCTCTCTGGCCCGTGTTGCCCCTAATCAGAGACAAAACCGTGGTGCTGAGCTGCAAGGACACATCTGAGAGTGGAAATGTGTATTGGGAGGGGTATCTCAGGAGGTTCTGCCTCTCACCGTGTACGCGAATTTCCTAAAAAGCCAGAGAACAGCAAAAAAAAAAAAAAAAAAAACACAAAAAAAGCCCTTCCCTTCCACCTGTGTCCTTGCTAATCATCTCAGCAGATCTCTGAGCCCATCAGGCAGCAGGGAGGGAACCCCTCCTCATCCCAGCAGGTCACCAAGCCTCGTGCAGTGCGGCAAAGCCATTCGGATGCCCATGGCATGGCATGGAGCCGGAGGGATCCGAGCCAGAGACCAGCCTGGCAGACCTGCAGGCAGGAGGGGGCCACCAGGACTCTGCCAACAAGCTGCTCCTGGCATCCCTGCCCTCCCCTTCCTCCTTCAATATATCCAACTATTTGGTAGCAAACACGTAGCTGCGCTTTGCTGTCACAAATGCAGCATTTAGGTTTGGATCTCTCCCTTGAGTTAATCCCTGTTGCTGTCTGATATTCCCAGCTTTCCCTCCATGTCTCTCCATTTGCAGATAATAAAATTACAACTGCTCGATTCCAACCAGCAAAAAGACATTCCAGCCCCGGGCTGAGGCTCCCTGGGGTCTGGCAGGGCTGGAGTTGCTCGTGTCAGGGAGAAGTCACGACCCACAGGGGGAAGGAAGCTCCAGTTCAGACGTGCATTTTTTGTGGCTGTGCTTGAAGTTTCTATAGCTACCAAAAATGAGTTGTCAGGAAATACTGCTGCACCCTTCTCCACAGGCTGCTTTGGAGTGGGAAAGCAGGAAATGGGGCCCATTGGAAGTAGTTTTAACTTCCCATATTTAAGTGTCTCTCCTCCTCTTGTCTCCCTACCCCCTTTCTGAGATGGAAGAGCACATTTGGCCCTGTGCTGGCGGTGCTTCACCAAGCTCAGTGGTCAGATTGCAAGGCCAGATGCAGCACAGTTTTCCTGCAGAGCTGGGAGTGACAGTGGCCAAGGACCCCGAAATCAGCTGGGAGGCAGCGTGCCAGGACGAGCAGGGGCTGCTGCAGGAGGGGTTGGTTCCCAGCCCTGGGGTCTCCAGGTCCTGGGCACTGATGTTTGTGCTGCTGAGCCCTGCAAGGATCCTGCAGAAATGCAAACCCAGCTCCATTTTCCCTCCCTTTCCCTGTTTCCATCAATCCTTTGTCTTTTGCATACACATATAAATGCACACAGCATGCAACAGATAACCTTTAAATAATCTGTAATGCTGCTTCCTGATTTCTTTAGGGAGTCACAACCTCTCAAAAGCCAGAATCAACCCTTGGAGACCATGCTGAACCCCGAGGCCACCTTTGCATTACGGTGCTTGTATCCACTGCTACAGTGATAAAATCCACCTTCCCTCTTCAGTGAGCCAGACTTCCACATGCTTTTGGGAATAATGCACATGCTGTTACACACAGTGCCTAGATTGCTCCAGGGGGACACAGGGGTACTCAGACACGGGACAATAAGTAGGGTGTAAAGACCATTTCCTCAAAGGGGTTGAGATATTTGAGTCCTAGAAGTAACAAACCTCACTTTGTTCAGGGATGAACGTGTTTCTGGAGGCATTATCTAGATCCAAGGTGTTTCTCCTCCTTTTGCCAGGTGTTGGGACACAACAGTGCAGGGAAATGCACTCACATTCCTGACAATTTATGTTCTCCAGCAATTTGAGTGTCTTTCCACAACACATACATACATAGATGGGGTGGTCCCTTTGGACTGATGAATTAGTAAGATGTGAGGCTTGGGAGGTCAGAGATTGGGTTCACACAAACATCCCGAAGTTCAAATGTTTTCCCAAAGCTTGTCTCAACTTTAGGTGACCTTCTTCAGTCTGGAAACGTGAGGCAGCCGGTGCTCCCCGTGAGATTACCAACACATCGTGAATCCAGCAAAGTCTGCAGCATCAACAGCAAAAAAACACCACTTTTCCTGGAGTATTCATTTGATTCTTGCCTTCAGCTGCTGGCCAGGGCCAGGAGGGCTCTCACTCATAATGATGACCTTGGTCAAACACGATATAATGCTTTGGACAGTGTCCAGGTGCTCTCCAATGATGTGGACATGACCTTCAGATGTTCCTCCCTCTGTCCTTCGTGCAACCCTCTAGACCCAACACCCAGAAATTGGTCAGAGATTTCCTTATTAAGCAAAAGCTTAATGAGCTCTGATTCACCAACATCATGGCAGGGGTGGCCATCACCCAGACGCAGTAGGGAGGCCCGAAGATGACAGATGCACACCTTTACCTGTAACAATGTTATTCCTCAATCCCTGTGATGTCCTGCCCTGATTTAGGGCCCAACTTGCTAAATGCTGGGCACACATCTAGCAAAGGACAGCAGCACATCCTTATCCTCATTCTAAAATCTGCCTCCTTCCCACGCAGGGAGGTGACTCAGATGCTGAGCCTGGACACAGTATCCTGTAGATACTCGCAGAGTAACAAACTACCCAGAAGTGTTAATAAACCCCAGGCTGCTGGTGGACATTTTGCTGCCTGCAAGATCTTTCACAACATTAAAATCACTGCCCTTTAGCAGAGCTCACAAACAAAACAAAGCCACCCCAGGTCAGTGCTTTAGTTATGAGCTGCTTAACAACGAGCAATATTTCTGCTGTTTTTTCTGAAACGGATTCTGCTACATTTTGCTGTTGTCTGAATTGCCAGGAGATGAACAACCTCTCTCCTGGGTCTGAAAAATCTCCTTTTACCACTGAAACTAATTATGCTGTTAACCACTAATGCTGCCCAAGAAGAGCTAATGAGTTTCTAGACAGTGGGTGTTTTATCTCCCATGCACAGAGAGCTACAGCCATACAAGATCCAGCACCAACACAAAACTTCTGTGGCAGTCACAGTCTGCCTGGCTAAGGGGAGAACCTTGGACACAACTGCTCCAAAACACCTGTCCCTGTCTCCACCACCTGCAATGCTCAGGAAACCAGCGGTGGAGATGTAAATGAAAGGATGCCCCATTGCTTTTACACCCCAGGACGTTGTCAGCCTTAATGAGTTAATATTGTTAAACCCTCCTGTGCTCATCAGCTGGGAAACAGTGTAGGAAAGGCACTTCCCAAGGTGGCCCCCCCAAGACAGTGTTTGTACACTCCCATCTCCTCCCAAGACCATGTTTTTTATATTCCCTTTTCCTTCAGCCATCTGCTGCCTTTCCATGTCCCCCCAGGAGACATGTCCTGTTGTTGTTGCGAGGTTTTATTGTTATCATCATCATTAGTTCTTAGGATTAATATCATAGAAGTAGCATGGAGCACTAATCAGTCCCTTTTGTGCTTCAATAGGGTCTGTAGGAATAGGACAAGGGGCAATGGTTTTATAATAAAAAAGGTAAATTTGGACTAGATATAAAACAGACACTTTCCATGGTGAGAGTGGTGGAACACTGGCACAGGTTGACCAAAGAGGCGGTGGATGCCCCATCCCCAGGAACATTCAAGGCCAGGTCAGACGGAGCTCTGAGCAACCTGATGTGTTTGACAATGTCCCTGCTCATTGCAGGGGGTTGGACTGGATGACCTTTAAAGGTCCTTTCAAGCCCAAACCATTCTATGATTCATGTAGTACAAACACTGTTGGAGATATCCCACGCTTGTCCTAGTCACCTTCCAGTGCAAACTAAGTAAATTAAGGGTTCCACTGGGCATTATCTTACCTAAAAAAACCTCAACATCCATCTCTAGCAGGCTCATGGGCTGCACAGCCACAGTCACAGGAAGAGTCTGGAAGGAGGCAAGTCACCTCCTCCATGAAGCTGAGACAGTGGATATCCACGGAAAACATCCATGATTTGATTCTCGAATGGGTACCCTTAGTAGGACAGGTTATTTCTCCCCATCACATCATTAGACACCTCTGGTGGGGTGGGAAGACTCCTACGTAGGCTGGAGCAGAACTGAGCAGCACCCCAGAGTTTGTTTTTCCTGAATTGTGATGTCTGATCCTTGATGTTACCCAGTGGGACGTGATCCAAAACTCCCAGCTTGCTTTTCTTCCCCCAGCACTAACCCACTCCTCAACAGCCTTATTCACCAGTTTGTCCGTAGGGTTACCAATGCTTTCCATTGTCCCCAGGATACCACAGGAATTAAAGTAACACTGTACAGAGCTCAGAGGTGAGAAATGACCACAAATACTGCTGATACCACAAATTTTACCTTTGACCTTCCTCCCGAAGCAACAAGTCCAAATTCTTCCTTTTCCCCACATCACAACATTTGGACTCAATGACCCTGGAGGTCCTTTCCAGCCTTAGTGATTCCTTGATTGTATGACCAGCACTGGTGAGGAGGCACTCCTGGGAGCAGACCCAGAGCTGGGGTGCCTCTCCAAGGCACCCAGCCCAAATACTGGCAGTGGTGGACACCCAAAACTCTGCAACCCACTCTGTGTTCACTGCAGACATCAATGCCTATTGCTGGTCATGACATGGATCCTGTTTAGTGAATCCAGTAGAAACAAATTCTCCCTGACCTCAGCGAAGGTCTTGGGAGCAGAGGGAGACACACTGCTTGCTGACCCCACGGTGGGCAGCCCCCAGGCTAGGTAGGAGTGGGAGACTGGGATGCCCAAATGTGCCTGCAAGATTTCCAGCTCTCTTTCCAGCTCTCTTTCCATCCTCAACCTTGCTAAATCTGCTAAATAAACACCTACACTTTATCGAGCATCTCACCTCTCCACACAGCAGGTGATTTCCCTGCATGTCACCGGTTTTTGACCTGCATATTCATGGTGTTAATTATGCTCAGCAAAAGCAGCAGCATCACTGTCTCCACATTTCTCTGTCTTCCTTCCCGACTCACAGAGCTCCTCCGAGTCCTCTGTGACCAACTTTCTATGCTGTGCAGCCTTTCCCAGCTCCCCCCGTTTTAAACATAAGAGTATTTTTATATTGCATTCTTTGATGGATCATTCAAAGGCTTCAATAACCACATCTCAGGTTTTGTAGCCTTCCCTGAGCGCTGCCTACTGCTGTTGTTTACATCTGGGACTTCCAATTGCACAACGGTTCCTTCATGAAAACGTTACTTCCTCGCACTTGGGTTGAACTTGTGGCTTGAAATTGTCTCTTTCTGTGTGTTTGTGTGCATTTTCTGCGTCTGCTATGGCCAGACAGCAGCTGTCTGCTTCCTGAGAAGAAATTGCTGCTGTAAAAACATCCCCTGCATAGATAGGATGAGTCCTGAAGGAAGAGAATAAAGTATACGGTGCCATCAAGGTAGGAAAAGGGAGGTCAAAGAGCCTCAGGGACTCTGGCAAGCCTGGGAAACTTCTGGAAGTGGAGCTGAGAGTGAGGAGAACTTGCAAGGAGAGGGAAAGTTGATTTCCCTTATTTTTGCCTTTTTCATTGCCTTCCCTGTGCTCACCATGGAACTACAGGGGGTTTCTACCCAGGAAAGGGGACTGGTCCTATCACGGGGAGTTGGAGGTCAGGGAATGCAGAGCCCTGGAGGGCTGGAGCCCAGAGGTGAACTCGAGTTACACATTTGGGAGCCACTTTCATGCACAAGGCAAATCCATCATTTTGGGGAGTTCAGGAATAAGGAGCATTACCAATGTAGACCAACCCACCCACAGATACACCCCTGGGGTTTCACACCAGCGAGCTGGGGCCTTGGCTTGTGTCCCCTACCACTGCAAGGGCCTCTTGGAGCTCCTCAGCTTTCAAGGTGCTTCATCCCATCCAGGGCAGCCATCCCATAGGAGGTGATCTGGAATCTCTGGAGTTTCTTCTTCTCCACAGAGTGGGTGGACAGTAAGGGACTTTCCCTCACTCAGGGCTCAACATCTGGTGGAATCAACATCCCTGGGAGTGTTCAAAAAGCTTATGGATGTGGCACTTGGGAATATGGTTTAGTGGTGAACATGGTGGTGCTGGGTTAGTGGTTGGACTCATGATGTTGGAGGTATTTTCCAACCTAGATGATTCTATGATCTGCATATTCTGAGTGAGATTTTAACTTGGGTCTGGCCCTTTAACCCACTTGTTGGAGCCACACATCTCAAGAAAGGAGCAGCTGAGAGACCCTCAGGTGCTGAAGGAAAGGAGTAAAAGATGGGGGAGAGCAGGGGTTAAATGCTCAGACACTTCATCTCCAACATGAAATCCCGCTTAGGAAAAGATGCCAAAAAGAAAAATCTTTTCAAACCAGCAGCTGTAAAGGTCATGAGGGAAACTACAGGGTTGAAATGATGTCTTAGGCAGAGCAGAGGAGCACAGCCAGAGGAGCAGCTTGGCCAGCACCCCTTATGCCCCTGGCCAACCCAACACCACAGCCCTTGTCATGCTGGTGTTGGACCACCAGTGGTGATGATTTTGCCCCTTGGATGGCCCCATGTTGTCACTGGGAACAAACTGAACACACTCAAAAGCAGGTGTTGCACAGCCAGAGATGCTGGGAGTGGGAGCTGCCTCCCCAGCCAAGCATTCCCACAGGCAGTGGGCTCTGATGGTTCCATATAAACATCCATCTGTTCGAGGAACATCACAGGAAAACAGGCATTAAGCCCAGGAGCAACTGCTGGGCCTCCTTAGGCCTGGGCCTGAGATGTACCTTGTTCTCTTTTCTCCCCATCTTAACTTTTAAAGTCCAAATTTATCTCCCATGACACAATGCTGTGCACTGAAGGAGAGCAGTGCATGCAGTGACAGAGGAGGGACCAACAGATAAACACTGATCCCTGACATCTCATCCCCCCAGCACACATCCAAGCCATTTTCTCCAACCCACCTCAGCCATTCCTCTCCTCAGTCCTCCTTTTTTGCTTCCCTGAGTCTGAGAGTTTTGACTCTTGGACTGGGTTCCTCCTTCCTTTCAGGAAGCTCCTCTCTATTGAGTTCCTCATCATGTGTCTCCTTCAGTATATTCATCCCAACTCCAGTGGCAGCCTCGCCTGCAAGATGTTGTATTTTTCAGATTTCAGCCATTACAGTGAACATTGGGTGGCCACAAAACTCCTCTGCCTCGGCCAGAGAGTGTCAAGTTCCCTGGATCTGGATAAATCATGGGGGAGGGAGTTGTGTTTTATTTTCCTTGGAATTTATTCAACCAAACAAAACCCGCCCTGGCGTCGGCAGGGACCTGAGTGCCACCCCGGGAGAGCCCCCCTGCAGCTGAATGAGGCCTCTGTTGCAGCTCACACTGGCATCTCTGTGTGAGAGGCCCCAGGGTCTCTATTGTACAGGCACCCCTGGCCCGGGGTGGCACGGCCATCCCACCCTGTCCATCTGAATCCCCTTTGGACGCACAGAGCCCTCGGAGCAGACATACACTGCTGCGTGCAAGCCAGCAGGGCTGAAGCCCCCGTGGGGTTGGGAGGGCAGTAATGCCTGATTTCTGCAAAGTCTGAGGCCAAAACAGTGAGCCAGAGAAGTCATGGACACTGAAACCGCCTATTTAAGAAATAACTCAGGTCATCAGTCGCTGGTCCTGCCTGGTTCTTCTCCCAGATCAACACTCCGGGACTTGTAGCTGGATATTGATGAGAGTAGCTCAGCTGATTTAGCATGATGCTAATAACACCAAGATTGTGAGTTTGATCTCTGTGTGGGACATTCATTTAAGAGTTGGACTCAATTATCCTTGTGGGTCCCTTCAAACTCAGGATATCCTGCAAAATTTCTGTGAAAAGTGGGTCTGTCTGTTAAGAACAGATCCTAATCCACATCCTAAAGTAGCAAAATATCCAATTTTCCTAGAACCCACCAATCTTTTTTCAGTCAATCAATCAGTCTGGTTTTCAGGGGCACAGCACAGGGCACCCACAGTTCTGGGGAAAGGTGCAGGGCCCTGGGCAGGAGCACAGCACAGGGAAGCCCCACACTGGTGGGGGGCTTGAAACGGGCAATGAGGTGTTTGGCCACCACCATCACAAGGTCTCTGACTCCTCTGGAAACTCATCCTGGAGCCACAGAGGAAGGCATTATGGATGCTCCCCTGGATGGAGAGGCTCATGGTGTCCTGGGCTATCAGACACAGGTGGACATGTCCTGATGGACAAGGAAATCAAACCCAGCACTGCAAGTGATGCACTCCCGTGGCTTCTGCTGTGGACATTTTTAAACCAGTTGGTTTGTCGATGTGCTGGATAAATAAAGTGGGGAAAAAACAATTACAGAGGAGACCAGCATCATATTAGCAATCACTGCTGCTGCTGCTATTAGTGTTATTACCCTCTTCCCTCCGAGCCTTATTAGGTTCTTATACAAGAGATGGACTTCCCTCAAATGTCAGTGAGCACCAAACACTCGAAACTCCAGCCCTGAAGTGCTCTGGAAAACTTTTTGATTACTTCAGATATTGTATGAACATGGGAAAACACAGCAAGCCTGCCCCTAGGTGAGTCCCAGCCACGTACATCATTGAGAAACAGGGAGCAGAGGCAGGCAGGGTGGAGGGAAGGCACTCTTTTCAGACCTCTCCCACTGAACCAACCATGCTGGGAACATTGCACAGCAATCTTTGGTTTGCCAGCGGACAAATCCTGCTGCTCACATTCATAGAATCAGAGAAGGGCTTGGATTGGAAGGGACTTTAAGGATTATCTAGGTTCAACCCCTTGCCATGGGCAGGGACACCTTCCACTAGACCAGGTTGCTCCAAGCACCATCCAGCCTGGCCTTGAACACTTCCAGGGATGAGACATTCACGGATCCTCTGGGCAACCTCTGCCAGGGCCTCACCACCCTCACAGCCAAGAATTTCTTCCTAATATCTAATCTGTTCTCCATTTCAAGTGGGGGAAAGGGCCTCCATGCATCCTCACCCATATCCAGAGTTCTCCATCAGCCTCATTAAAAATAGAAAAAGCAATTACCTGATTGAAAAAGAAAACACATATTTTACCCCCTTTTCTACAAATGCCAAGTGGCCGCAACTGTAGGAACATCCCCCGAAACTCTGGAGTGTAGCAGGAGCTTTCCCAGCACTGGGTCACTTCACAGCGGGTAGAAATGGCTGGGTCTGGGGCTTACACTGTAAGTGTGTGGAGGTACACTCAGAGAGCCAGAGCCAGCCCAGAAGGGCTTTTGGTTCAAAAACACAAAGAGCAGGATGGGGAGCCGACACGCTGGAAGGGAACCGGGCCTGTTCCCAGTCACCCCACGGCTCTGCTCAGCCAGGACTGGAGAAGAAGTGACAGATCTCCTGGTTCCCATTCCAGAGACCTGTTCATGGTTAATGTTTCTTTTGATCTTTCCCTCCTTGCAGACCATGGCCATGGGTAGCTGTTGACTTCTCCCCTCGGCAGGACGTCGGTGGGTTGAGTTTTACAGACATTCACAGCACAAGTCCTCGCTGAGGCAGGCACAGTGGGCTTGCTGTGTCCTGGGCAGTTATATTTACTCTACCCTTTCTTGCTGTTTTCTTTAACCTGAAATAAGATGTCCCAGACCAAAAGGGGAAAAAAAAAAGGTGAAAATATTTTACTCACAGTGTCTGGATAAACATATCACTTCCCAACCCTCAAACGGAGTTCATGGGATGAGCCGTGGGGAGCCCACTGAGATGCAGCAGCTTCAGAGGCTGGAGAGAATTGTAGAGGTGATGGGGTCCTGTTCCATTTCTTTATCTGCTGACAAGAGAGATCTGCTTGGTCATACCCCACGCAACAAGGCTTGAGAAATCAAACCCCTTCCTCCTTGAACTTGCTCTCCTGTGGTGCTTCTCATTAGGAGGATGTGGCTGTAATTAGCAGAGCCCATGCTCTCCCAGAGCTCCTCCTCAGAGACAGCTACTGGCTGGAACCATCTATTTTTTCCCACCACGAAACAGCACTTGTGTGTGAACATGTTTGCTGGGAGTTGAGCTCCATCACGGCAAGAGGGCTCCGTTTTCCTCCTCCTCGGAAGCTGGAACGGCATCCAGGAAGGCTGGGTTTGCCTCAGAGGAAAAGCAATGATCTGTTTCAGCCCTTTAACAGTGGAGGAGTGAGTATTTCTGTGCTTGAATGGGCTTTTTTGTACCTGAGACCACCTCTCCCTGAATTAAATGAAATGTTTAAATGTTATCAAGTGCAGATAGGGCTGAAATTACATCCTCCATCAGCTGCAGACAGGGCTGGCTGATTGGCCTTTCACATTTTGTATCAGTTTAAGAGCCAAAGGTAGTGAGACTAGGCTTGATATCTCTCATAGACTCTTTCAGAAACACCCAGAGGATGAGCTCGGAGGAGATGAACCTCCATCAGCTTTCAGAGGTGTGCCAAGCAGAGGAGCAGTCTCAGTACCCCAAAGAAGATCAAGAAGTACCTCAAGATGAGCCAACTGCACCATCCTCTGCTGGACACTCTTGGGGTGCAGGCAAACCCCACACCCTGGATCCTCCTGTGCATCACCAGCTCTTTTCCCTGGTTTTGGGGAATACTAGGAAAAGCACATTTCACTCTGTCAGGAGAACGTACCACAATAAAGAGTCTGCTGAAGTTTTG